AAGGTCTAGAAATTATCTGCTGCTAATTATTATTATAGTTTGCTCATGCTGCCTTAGCGCCCTACCACCGGCTTCAGGAGTGATTTGTGAAGTCGGATGTGCTGTGTGTACTGGTGTCGGTGGGTTGTGGTCGCTGGAGGGTGGCAGGGGTAGGAGGAAAGTCGGAAAGGTCCTGCGGTGCCGGCGTGCTCCCCTACACGGGCGGCCCTTGGCAGAGGCAGCTGTGAGAGCTCGGGCGCCGGGGACCACGCGGCCGAAGCACAACCCGCTGCTGGGATGTGTGGGGGGAGCAGGCGCGGAGCTTGCACAGCCCCGGAGCCAGCAAGTGCCTTTATTTACAGCACTTGCAGGCTTGGCTGCTTCTCCATATCATGGAAAAAAACCCAACTCTTCTCAATGTCTGTCGTGGGTTAACCCCAGCCGAAACCAGGACAATGTCATAAGACCAGACATTTCTGAGCTGGTTTGTGACTCTGAGAACTTGCAAGAAGGGGCATGGGACAGGGCAAAACAGCAGCCCCGAGGCCGCAGGTGTTGAGAGCCGCAGGTTTACCGAAATGCGGAAATTTAAGTCAGAGTCATTTGCCCACAGACGCCTCCCTTCCTGCACTTGCCCGCTTTCAAGCTCTTCTGCTCAGCCTTGCAGCGCTGCTCACCGCGATTTGTGCCCCATAAAACAGCCCTGCTGCTGTGACTAAGTTGCAAGTTAATCCCGAAAGCAGCACCAAAAATCCCCTTTCTGGCAAAAAGCATCGAGCCTGCCCACATTCTCGTGTCCAGGGTACCAAAAGGCGGGGTGGGAGACTTTCACCCTCCCGCTGCTGATGGGTGGACTTGCAGAGTTGGTCCTTTGGGGTCGCCTGGGGATGGGGTCGCCCTCAAACCCCAGGGGCAAGCCCGGGCAGACCCTGGGTGCACATCACAGTGCTGAGGGCTGTCATGGGGCTGGGGGCTGTGGAGGCTTTTGGGGCCAGTCCCAGGTTGGAGGTGACTTTGGGGAGACCGTGCTGGGCTGGGTCCGGTGGGTGGATGGCGTACCAGGCACTGCTGAGTGCCCCGGGGGAGGCGGCTTGGCAGCCTCATCCTTCCCGTCACCGGGCTGCAGGCAGTGGGGCGATAAGGAGGCAGGGGCGCGGGTGCCGCGGCCAGAGCCCGGTCCCGAGCTGCGGCCCCAGGGGTCCCTTCCCCTCCGGCTCCATCCACCCGTGCTTGGCCACTCGTGGTCACTGCTCACCCTTTGGTCATGCTCCCGGCGTGAGAGAGGCCAAGACGCCTTCTCGGAAGATCAGGGCTGAGGCTTGGCCTCCTTCCAGGGCTGAGGTGAATTTATTTTGGAGATATAGGAACTAGATGTAGCAGCAGAAGTCAGCGGAAGGTCAGGATGCAAAACTTGGGGCTGTCAACGGCGTGAAGGATTTGTGTACAGTCTGCGGCACAGATCTGACTGTACGAGAGGTGATAGCCATCTTGAAACACAACCGTCGCCAGAGGAAAAACAGCAGCAGAGTCGAAGACAGGTCCCACGGACCTGTGCCAGTGTTACTCTGGCAGCACTGAGCATCTGCTGCAAGTTGCGGGGAGGTTTTAGGATCATGGGCCAAATCCTGGCCCCTTTCTCCACAGCCACAAAGCAAAACCTCATCCCCAGGAGCAGAGTCGGGATTTAAATGCTCGTTTCCTGCCTCTTTGTGATTTCATTCGCTGATGGTAACGTTGCATGGGGTAATTGCTTAACACACTTGTAAAACAGGAAAAGAGGAAGAAAAATACAGTACAAAACCCCACCTCACGCTAAAAGCTGAAGCAGAGGCTGCAGCCGACCCCGCTGCCTGCAGCTGCCCGCACCGTGCCGGCTGCCTCTGTGCTCCCCACCGCTGGCACCTTTCGAGATGCCTCAGGTTCTGCTGGAAAGCCGATTAATCCATCCATAAACAGTTTTCCTCCACACCATTAGAAATATTTAGTTCTAAGAACGTGGATTTTTTTTTTTAGCTAGAAGATATTTTTTGGCATGAGCCTCCTCAAAACCGATGCCGGAGGTTTCCAGGCTGAGACCTTACAGGATAAGCAGCACTGCCGATGACCTGCACCTGCGGGATGTTTCGGGCTGCTTCTTCCCTGGGCCAAAGCCATTCCAGCTGGAGCAATTCTCAACCTGCTCCGTTCACACACAGCAGATACCGGGACTGTCTTCCAGCTCTTCAAAATGCGCTGGGCGATACCAGAGATGCAGGTGCCACGTGCTGCTCTGGAAGTGCCAGCAGAAGGTGCCTCTATATTTCAGTTGGTTTTCAGCCACATTTTGCTTTTCACCCTGGCTTTGGTGGTGGAACTCTCATCCCAAAGGACAATTGAGTGCTTAGGAGTAAAATTAGCTCCAGGCACTATTTTAATTGCTCTTAGAGGTAGGAAGAGTACCTCGCTTGTAGCCTTGGGGCAGGTATTTAGATTTGTCTGCTGATGCTGGCATACCTCTTGCTCCCTTTAGCCATTTCTGAGTTCAGTGTAGTTGTCTCAAACCATCCTCCCTGAGCGGCCAAGGGGCTCTGAGGCCCCATCCTGCTGGGTTTGGGGCATGGGGGAGAGGTGAAAGTGCCCTGGATCCGCGCTGGGGACATTGCCCATGCCATAGGGGTGATCAGGGGTGACCAGCCCTGGGCTCTCTGTCCTTGGGCATCACCTTTGCCAGCGAGTGGGACGCGTGCAGCGCGGGTGGTTTGATTTGGGCAGGTGAGGTTTGGGGGTCGCTCCTGGAGGGGGAGGTACCAGCATTCCGCTCCCGGCAAGGCTCAGACCATCCAGAACCCTTGGGGGCTGTGTGACCCTGCTGTGCCAGGATGGTCCCCCCCACAGCCTTTGCTTTGTCACAGTAAAACCTGGGGGGGCTTTTAAGGTTACCATGATGTCCCCAGGCTTGCAGACTGTCTCGTCCACCCACCCCCCCACCAGGCTGTAAAACCCAGCACGGGACATGGGGTTCATTAAATGGCAGGGGGATGCACATCAGCATGAGATGGGTGCGGGGGGCAGGCTGGAGACCTTTGGGGACCCTTTGCAGGCAGTGCTGCCAGGGCTCGGCGGCATCCCGGGGCACCCCGCATTTACAGGGCAAGCTGTGTCGGCAACAAGAACAAACCCTGCGAATCCCAAACCGCCTGGTG